CAATATTTTGTAAATAGAGATCAAGTACTATGTGTATTGTGTTATGTGTATTGACTTGTCATTTAAGAGTTATTTAATTGTCTACATATAACAAATAAATGAATTTCAGTTCATTTCATTTTATTACCCATTGTGTTTTATTTCCTAAAATGTAACTAGTAGACTTAATATACACGTGTCATGAAAATAGCACAGAAGTAAAATACAAGTAATTTTAAATCAATTGAAGATGTGAATGTAGGAAAAGAGCACCCGATACGCGCAGACCATGTGTGTTGCAGTGTCTCAATCAATGTGTCAAATATTAATTTGCACGGCCCACTTAGCCAGTACACTAATGTAGGAATTGCGTAATTAAGTTCAACATAATATTTAAGTCGCGGTTGAGTATTCGGACGTTAAACATGAGTTTGAGGAAGTTTAAGTAATAGAACTGAGGTAATGATGTTTGTAATAAAACTCAGTGCTAGATTTTCGACAACGCAGCAACTTCCAAAAAAAACCGTCGAAAAAAGGCACCATGACGACGAAGCAATGTTTAGAATTGAATTTACATAAATAAAACGTTGCAAGCACGTGTTTTATATTTACATAGGGTTACACAGAATTACTTAAGGTAAATTCAAAACTGATGCATGTGTATAATTTTGTCCTATAAATAAATTTTATATGGTCACCACATTAGACAAGGACACCGCGACCAAAAAGTATTCTCTTTCGAGACCGATTTCTCGGCATTAGACAGCACTCCAGTTGTAGGTACTAACTCCATGGTACTTATTAACTCCATGGTTACAGACTATCGTTTTACATTTCAGAAGGTTAGTTGATTTATTTCATCCATTGGATAAGCAAAAGAGACATAGCTCATTCAGCCAAATCTTATGTAACAATGGCTGAAATTAAGTAATTTTTTTTTTATTGCTTAGATGGGTGGACGATCTCACAGCCCACCTGGTGTTAAGTGGTTACTGGAGTCCATAGACATCCACAACGTAAATGCGCCACCCACCTTGAGATATAAGTTCTAAGGTTTCACGTATAGGTACAACGGCTGCCCTACCCTTTAAGCCGAAACGCATTACTGCTTCACGGCAGAAATAGGCAGGGTGGTGGTACCCACCCGCGCGGACTCACAAGAGGTCCTACCACCAGCAATTACGCAAATTATAATTTTGCGGGTTTCATTTTTAATACACGATGTTATTCCATCACCGTGGAAATCAATCGTGAACATTTGTTGAGTACGTATTTCATTAGAAAAATTGGTACCCGCCTGAGATTCGAATACCGGTGCATCGCTCAACACGAATGCACCGGACGTCTTATCCGTTAGGCCACGACGACTTCCCATATGTTGTATGTCATGGATGTTACATGGATAAAAACTGCAATAACGAAATCAACAGAAATTAAATGGAATTAAAAGAGGTGAAATAGGAAAACATAAGCATTGGATGAAATGAAGTAACACAGCACAGAAATAAAGACCATTAATAATGCTTAGCGCTAAAGGATCGGCACCACGCGGGGCTATCTAAGTTGTTCACATACTCCTTCATATACTCCTATTTGTGCCTACGGCCTATATATATGTAGTCGGCGAGTATCTAAATGAGGCATTAGAGAATCCATAATCGACTTTTTTATTATTACTTTATGTTATTCATTTGTTTGGATGGAGGTATTTTTGTTAACCTAGAACCCTATAGTTTCACCAGAACAGATGACTGAACTCGAGGAATTGACTGGAGGAGGACTCTGCGTCTATTATATATCTATTATATAACCCATACATATCTAATCCTACGATAGTATAAGTCCAAAAGAAAGATTGGTTGTAACATTAAGATTTCTTGCAACAGGAAATTCGTATCAAGATTTAAAATTTAGTTCTTCAATATACCAACCCCTGATAAAAATTATCCCTGAAACATGTTGGGCTATTTATAAATGTCTGGCACATTAAATAAAGGTGACCGAAATTAATACTTTTTATTTTAAAGTAAAAAATCACGAAGTAACTAAATGCGATTACACCTTCCTAAATGCGTTTCTAATTAGGCTTCTAAATAATCATTTAGTTAGTCCGAAACCATCCTTGCTACTGAATTTAGTAGGCCAACTTACTTAATGCTATTACGCTTCACTGAATTCAGTAGCGACTGAATTCAGTCGACTAAATTTAGCCAACTGTATTAAGCCTATAAGTATAAGACGTAATTTCTTAAATTATTCTGTGATTGTAAAGCCCATTTTGACGTATTCCTTTCAACGTCAATGGAATAGAGCATTTGTTTTGTCTGATAATCTCGAGTTTTACTCTTGTACAACTGGAATCGGAAATAATAAAGCTACATAGTTCTTAGATAAATATGTAGGTAGTTGCTTGCATTTTAATTTTATAATTTTCTTGTTAATTTCAGATTACAGTACATTTTAAACATTAATAAGACTGGAGGATAACGGATTTATTAGCTCGAAGGGATATTGTCTACGCATATGAAGTAACAGCAAATTGTTTGATTTCGAGAAACCATAATTGTATAGATTTATTTGATGATTCAAAATGGACCCGGAACATCAACCCAAACTTAATCCGGTCAGGGCCTTTCAAGGTATGTGTAGTATATTTAGATATGTTAGCACTTTAGCCTTTACACATTGACCTAACTTAGTACGTCGCGCCCCGCCTGCGCGTGAGGTTGCGTGCTCTTAGTGTTGTTTAGAGAATCATTCAGTACAACCCTCTAACTTGATGTGAATGTTCCATTACTCTGCTTGCTAATTGTTCCCTAAAATTCTTTAATTATTCAAAATGAATATTTTCAATTGTGCCAGAAATAAGTTTCGATCGTGGTTTTCTTTTTTATTCCCCAAACGGAATAACTCCTCCCAGGCTGCTGCAGCAGAAAGAGCAACAAGTTAGTGGGAAGTTTTGACTGTATATGAAGTTAAGTTTTTTTATTTCATTTTTGAGTTCATTTTATTATTAATGATCAAAATTTAATTTTGAGTTTATTTCAATTATGTTTGAACCAGTTAGCAAATATTATTTAAAATTATGTGATTGGAAAACAAATTGGAGGCATATTTGATAGAATATCATCCAAAATTGAGTTTTATTTATTTATGGTAATTATTAGTTTTTAAAATTATTTTTATTTTAAAAATGTGTTTGTTTTTTTTTTTCTTTAAGCCTTTTTGCTTAAATAATAATAAATATGTATTTTAAATAAATTTCTTTTTAGTTCTACATGGTTGTAATGGGGAAACAGAGGAAAATTACACTAGTCTTTCTGAGTACCATGACTATGAACCAAGCCTTGAATTTGATGACTCTGAATTGATCCATGGACCTGGTCTAGGTAAGTATTTAAAGGTTATTTAACTATATTTGGAATAATTGTGGTAGGTGTTATAAAATATAAATCTAACAAAACAAAATAGACATAGTTGGAAATTTAAAAAATGAGCTTAATGATTGGGTGAGGTGCACTCGGAAGCATGAATTTTATTTTATATTTATAAAGTTTTATTTCCAAATTAATAATGTAACAAAAATCATTAATGATATTTTTTTAAATTTAATCTGAAGTGCTAAGTTTTTTTGGTAGGTTTTGGACAGCTAGGTCACAGCTTTGGATTTTTATTAAAAATGCAATTGAGAATTAGTTTGTCATGTAATTAATATTTACAAAACTTTCCTTACCTTTGGTTTTTAAACTATAGTGCTCACTTGTAAAACATGCTTTTGATAAAAATATGCTTAAAGTTTTTCAGCATTGATACTCTTATCATATTTCCATAAAATTTTGAGCTGGCTGGATGCAATTCAAATTTTTTTATAAAATTTTCCTTTGAGTTGAATCTGGATATTACTATTTTTAATCTCTTGTCACTGCAATCATCTACAGTCCGTTTCCAGATATTATTTTTACATTTTACATCTACATATTGTCTGGCATTGGAATGAGCTCAGCTCTACATTGTTTACCAAGAGCTGTGACATGTCCTTTGTCAAATGAGGCGTGTGGAGATTACTTAACAGTAGGCAGTGGCTTGGCTCTGCCCCTGGCATTGCTGATGTCCATGAGCGACAGTAGCCACTCACCATCAGGCACCTACAAGGGTTACAAATAAAATGAAGGAAACTTGATCTTTGGGATGTGTTTTTAGATATTGGGGAAAATGAAAGTGTTTGTAAAATTATGCTCAATATTTCAGTTATAAATCAATGAAAATTTCTGGAATAGGGCAATAATTTATACTTACATTGAATCATTAATTCCTAGACCCCTATAGTAGGGTTTCTTCCATTGTAGATGCTTCCAAAAAATCAATCTTCTTTTACCTTACAATCTTTTGATGAGTCGTCGTGGCCAAAAGAATTAGACGTCCGGTGCATTCGTATGTAGCGATGCATCGGCGTTCCGATCCGTCGGCAGGTACTAATTTTTACAATGAAATACATACTCAACAAATGTCCACGATTGACTTCAACCTTGAAAGAATAACATCGTATAATAAAATGAAACCCGCAAAATTATAATTTGTGTAATTACTGGTGGTAGGACGTCTTGCGAGTCCACACAAATAGATACCACCACCCTGCCCTGCTGACGTGAACCAGTAATGCGTTTCGGTTTGAATGGCGGTGCAGCCGTTGTTCTGTTAAAAGTGAGACATTATGTCCTTATGACAGAACTTATGAGACCTATGACCTTATAACCTCATGTTTCTAGGTGGGTGGCGGCATTTACATTGTAGATGTCTATGGGCTCCGGCAACCACTTAACACCAGGTGAACCGTGAGCTCGTCCACCCGTCTAAGCAATAAAAAAATAATAAAAAACCTTTGAATGATTTCTTGGGTATTCTCATTTAAATTTTTGTCATTAACTTTATGTATGCTGAGAATCTATACTCTTTCCTCATACCCGATCCTGTGGAGCGAATAGTAAACAGTCGACGTCGCCCTAAACACGTAATTACGGATCCTCCGATCCATTAACGGTGCTTTTAGGTACCACAAGCACCGTCCTCGTCGAACCCGTCGCTTGCGACGAAGGGCTCGATCTTCTCAGTGGGGCGCGTTTCAGATCTAGCGGTAGATTCTGCGAAGCACTGCTCTTACTAGAGCCAATGTTAGCAACATTCTCGGTTTGACCCCCGTAAGCTCACTTACACGTCAAGGAGAAGCTGAAATAGGCTCTCAAGGCATCAGCATAGATGGGAAAGAAAAAAAACTCTTTATGAGAATTAAAATACAACAAACTTTATTTTATATAAAAGTAATAATTACATTCTATTTTGAAGCATTTTCAATGCTAATATTCTAAACTTGAAGTTCAATAATAGTTTATATTATGCATAAATTATTGCATTAGAGCTTAGTCTTCACCGAGTTGTATTTAAAAGTGACGTACGCTAAAGTCTACTTCGACACTGCAACATGCATTCCCTGGTTACTCCATTGACAATGAACTGACAAAGTTAGGGCTGGGCCCCCAAAGTACTTTACTTATGATAACATTTAATGGAGAAAAAAAATCTGGATCTGTGGTCCCCAGTATGGCTTTGATGGTGCAGTAGTATTAATCGCTCCTCTTTGGTCATCAGTTTGCAAAATCGAATGACAATACAACATTAATATAACAATTTTAATTACTCTTGTACTATGACCTTATACTTAAACAATCAAATCGAAGCAAACATCTATTTGCGGTGATAAATTATGCAATGGCACACCAGAGTTGCATAAAACTACCTTACACATTAGGCAATTTTGTTAATAAGCTTTATGGATTTGTGATTCTACTACTCGTTACCAGCAAGTAATTCGTGTATTAATCTGAACGCATTGGGTGAGCAATAATTTCGGAATGAGCTTGGAACGAAAGCTGTATATTCGTTTAAATTTAAGCTGATGGATTGTTTCGTTTGTCGATTCGTCGTCACTGTCGAGGATTTTATGCACAGTAGTCAGGTTAAATTACATGTCACGATGAGGGCGTAGTTCGGTCTTTGAAGTGGAAGTTTATTCATTTGGAAAACAAACACTATATTCACAGTCAAATATTAGTAACGAGTATCACAAAAACTATAGTTATATTATTATATAGAAGGGTGGGGTAGCCGTTGTAACTATACTGAGACCTTAGAACTTATATCTCAAGGTGGGTGGCGCATTTACATTGTAGATGTCTATGGGCTCCAGTAACCACTTAACACCAGGTGGGCTGTGAGCTCGTCTACCCATCTATCTAAGCAATAAAAAAAAAAAAACTTTTTTTTTCTTTCTAAACACCGCACCGGATGAAGTGATAGTGTATCGGCGTGTTATAAATATTCAAGAAAACGCGCTGCACCGTTTTTGTGACTCGCTTGGTCTTACGGATTGAATATATAAATAGTAATTACTTTAGGTTTTAGGATAAATTTTCAGTTGTGATATCGTGTGCTTTGGGATAAATCTTCAGTTGCGATTTCCCATTTTTCGTATGTTTGAAAATATGATATAAATATGAAGAAAATATTTTGATTTAATTCTAAAAATATCTACGTTCAATAGAAAGCTTAGAAAATGGTGTATTTTTTTGTGATTCTTGAATTTATACGCCATAGCAGATTTCAACCCACAATGTTTACGTTGAATCTAAAAATATTATGCTTTACATTGGAACTTCTCAGAAAATATCATAAAAGATTTTTCTAGACAGCTCAGACGTTGTACCACCTTAACTTATTCAAGGTCATTTTTACTTTACTTTCTGCGATATTAAAATTGAAATCGCAATACGTAATTCAATAAAATATGTGTTGATGAAATGATTAGAGTCCACGATTGAAAAATTGCACAAGTAAATCGATCTGGATGATGTATCAACGTGCTCTTGTTCTGATTGTTAGATACAGTCCCCTATATGTTAAAATCAACTGGAAGGCCGCGATGTCGAGTTCAAGGATTTCACGATTGATTTTTGATGAGTGATTTTGGTGTTAAAATTGAATATACTCTCAGATGAAAGAGGACTATGCCAAAATATCGCTTCTACGTTATATTATATATGGATATAAATAGGAACATGGACTGCATAAATCATGAAAATATTGTTGTAAAACAGAACTGAGAGTGCAGTCAGAAAACGTAGGTTCGTATTTTTCAATATATTATGGAAACTGGTAACCAGTTACATCAAGCGATTTCCTCAATCCCTGTAAACAATAAAAGTCCCCAGAGACCGCTTTACGAATGAGTATTGCTCAATCACGATCAATAGGATCTAATGCATGTATCGGGCTTACCCTGTAACTGTGTTGTTATTAATGGATGAAGACCATGGACTAGATCCGGTCGTAAACTAGCCTTGGGAGCTTTTTGTATGTCTTATCTTCAACGCTGGCTTACTGGTTCGTGACACTCGAATCGTGAATAAAATGTAGTAGCCGCGAAAGCTTTCATATAATTCTAATGTCAAAAAAAAAAGAAAATAAGAATAATGAACTCGATAATAATAGCTTACACGTTTTTAATTTATGATTTGTATTACGAGTATAATACTCAGTCATAATAAAAGTTTTGCACGTAACAGAACCACCTGTTACTCAGTTATCTGTTGTATTAGATTAATGTAGGTCATTTCGCACGCTCTTCTTTCTTCGACATCGCGGAAGTAATGAAAATTATTAAGGTAATGTTTTATATGAGATGTACAAAACATTAAATTCGACTTTGAAAACTATGCCAATATGGTATTTTGGTTTCGGTTTCGTTTACCTTGGGTTTAGTTATAACATCAACAATGTTCGCTTAAGTAGAACTTTTATGAAATGAAAGTAAATTTATTTAATAAATAGTTTATGTTTTGTCGAAATCATATACCTATTTTGTACATACCTACATGATTCCCTGTATTTTACAGTCAAACATATATTGATAATGAATTTTAATTTTGTATTAAAAATAAAAGAAAAAACATTTACATATTGTTTTACCATTACACGTGTCGTGCACTATGAAAAGTAATTTAGAACAAGAAAGTTAAAGCTAACAAATTTACTTATTCATACACTACCTGTATTTATTCAGTATACTGTAGCTGAAAGGATAAGCTCGCGATTTATCACTGTCTTTTCTATAATAAGTCATAGTAATAAGTTTTTAAGTATACATCGAAATGATGGGCTTCATAGTGTGAATTTTATACATAAACATTTTTCCTACACGGCACACCGAACAAATAGAATGCTTAGAATTATAAGATAAAAAAAACAGCTATTTTGTAATCTTTGAAGATCTATTAAGTATTACTTAAAAAAATAAAAACAGTAATAAGCGTATAGACATAAACAACAATAATTCTAAAATACCACAATATATGTTTAATTTACTTAAAACAATCTTAACGAAATAACTATGTTATAAAACATCAAAGAAATCAAATTGAAGACTGCGGGTAGAAGAAAAGAAAGCAATATCAGCTGGTAAGCGATATAAGCCGAGTTACTGTTGAGAACTGTTAAAATATACTATTATTTTATTTATCAGCTTAGAACGGCTCCAGGCTGGAGCTAACTAACGGGTGTAAGAGGTACTTGCTATAAATTTAGGTTGCGGCTTAACGTAACTCGAACTCCCTAAATGCAGAATAAAGTTGCACTCAGCACGTGTAAACTATCCCGTTTGAGAGCTCGGGACCGTTAGCATTTCATCCTGCATCCACGGGTTTGTGACACGACAATGTCAAGGTTACCGCCTTAATTAAACGTCGATGTAAATCAAGTGGTCGATGTTCGTGACATGTAATGAACGAATTTATTGATGTGCGATGAACTGCTAAATAGAGATGGTAGTTTGAAATTGTCATCGAGGCTAAATGCACAAGATGCACGGTGTATGTATTCTTTCCCAATCGCAAGTACGATACTTGAAGTGTATTTACGTGCGATTTCCAACGATTTAGAAATAACATCGCGTAATAAGAATGAAACATTTTGAATAGTGAATTGGCGGTAGGGCGTAAACACCATTTTCCCTATTTCTGCCTCGATGCAGTTGTTAGGACCAGTGAAAAGGGACAACCGTTATAAAGCACCACTGAGACTTTGACCTCATGTCTCAAGAGACAGGAATTCACGTTCTGATGCTCATGACCAATCCATTGTGAGCAGGTGAGCCGTGAGCTCGTTCACTCATCAATAAATAAATTAAAATAATGCAATTGAGTGCGCATAGTTTGTAAAAAAATTGCAAGCCCTGGAACCTACCTAACAAGCTTGTACGAGAGTTAATCAAAAAGTTTGTACAAGCGCATATTATCAGAACCAGTTTGTTGTTTAATTGGAAAAGTCTCGATCACACAGTGCTTTCATAGTTTCACATGCTTTCGACATACCGCTCGTAATTATTAAATTATTTTGTGCAAATATTAAAAAAAAAACACTCACCCGGAGAAAAGCGACTTGCAACGTTAAAGGTGTCTTATAAAAAATTAATATTGATTGATGCTATACGATATTGTAAGGTTTACTTACTGTGTTCTTGAAATGGAAATGTATATCAAGTTGTTTAGGGGGTGCTCGTCTGAGGCGGCCTTCGACTCTTATTACTGAAGAACATGTAAAAAAATTTGAGCATCTAATTATAGAAGACACGCTTAGATAAAATCCTAAAGAATATTTTTCAGTATTTATTGACTTCATTTTAATTTACTTAATGAGCTTAAAATGACATTCGACAGGTTGCGTACCGATCACGGGAAGAACTTTTTCTTCAGTTTTGGCTTACTTAAATAGAATATTTAAATAGAATATTGTACTAACGACCGAGTAATATGTATAAAACGTGCAAAACTAAATGCTCAATGATCAAAATATGCGTTTAATGTAATCCGCATTAATTGCAAGTAATTTTTCATTTCACGTACAATTATATACTTTCATACTTTCTTACTATATACTTTCATATAGTATTTATAGTTAGAAAGAAAACACAAATTTATAATTTACATTCAAATTCCATCTGAATGTTTTTTTTTTTTAGTTCGTGTATAAAATAGTAGTTTTAGACGATGTTGCTTGATGTAAATAGATTAGACATCAAATGCATTTCAGACCATACACATTAATTACTGTAGCGATTGAATTCCGATATGAACAGTGTTAATCGAGATCCTAAATTTAATTAAAGCATAGTTTCCCGAACCAACGGAATTGATTAGGTTCAAACACAAAGCTATGTGCGTTATAATGGCTTGAATCGTTTGCACTATATTTGTTGTGGCATGTGCATTGTGTTTGGCCAATAAATGGAATTCATAGTTGCATGGTATCCGAATTAAGGTTTGAACTTTTGTGAATTTTGGATCAGACCGCATTGTTTATGTGGAATATTTCGATTTCCGTTTTTGTTTTTAAAATACTAGACTTTATCCTCTTCTATACAGGAATATCAAAACACATTAATATTCAAAATAAGATAAGCGCACGATGCGGCTGGCCTTGAGATGCGAGATTTCAATTTCTTCGGATAAACGCTTAAAGGGTAACTTTAAACTAAAATGCAATATTGCTTTGCAATATAAACAGGACCTTGATACCGGTAAACAAGGTCACAGTCAGACTGAGTACATATAACATGCCCTGGAACTTGTAACCTTCAGTAATAATGAAATAAATTGTGAACTCTCAGTAAAAGGAATCCATAATCTTGTTTTATGGAAGTAATGTCTTTTAAAAACAAACGTTCAATGATAGGTTGTTGATATATTTTATAAATTTTTGAGTTCGTCACAGTTGAAATTAGCAAAAGAACAGTTTAATTTATTTGCCTTTTAGTCTGTTACTCGTTTGTTATATCCTGTTTTATCTTTTAGTTTTTTTGTTGTTGAATGCGGTTACTTTAAATGAAGACTTGGTTTTCATATATTCTTCTTATTCGTTATTACTCTTGACATTATGTAGCATTGGAGGGAACAGATTTGATGTCTTCCGTTTTTTGCCACCTCTTCCTGCTCGAAGCCATTCTACTACACTGATTTAAGGGACCTCTCACTGTAGTCTTGATTTGGTCGGTCCATATGAGACCTTCGATTTTTATACATTCTTAATTTTTTTAAGTTCAAACATTATTAACATTAATTCATTATCATAGATTATTATATTATTATGTATATAGGGTCAAACCGATATCATAGCATTTAAGTAATCTTTTTTTATTACTTAGATGTGTGCACGAGCTCACAGCCCATCTGGTGTTAAGTGGTTACTGGAGCCAATATACACCTAAAATTTAAATGCCGCCACCAATCTTGAGACATGACTCCTAAGGTATCAGTTTTTACCGAAACGCATCACTGCTTTACTCTAGAAATAGACAAGATGGTTTGCGAATTTACAAGCCGTCCCACAATTAGTGATTATGCAAATAATAATTTTGCGGGTACGATTTTTATTCCCTCCGTGCGTCGTATTCCTCGGTGCTGAGGGTCGTGACCTTTACGGAGCACTTTTTTTAGGACTATGTTCCTCCATTCACTCCTGTCCTCCGCGCAGTGGATAGCGACATTGATGCTGGATTCCAAAGTCGTCTTAATCTGATCGGACCAGCGCATCAGACTACGCCCCCTAGGCCTCTTTCCTTCCACTTTGCCGATGATGAGAAGTCTTTCGAGATTGTCACCTTTTTTTACACGATTTTTATTACACGATGTTATTCTTTCGCCGTGGTTAGTCGTCAATCGTAAAAATTTGTTAATTACGTATTTCATTGGAAAATTTGGTACCCGCCTGCGGGATTCGAACAGCGTTTTAAAAGGATCGTTTTTCAGCACCATTGCCACCGGAGCTGCTAGACATTCCAGAAGAACTTTTAGATAGAACAGCCAACGACGGCACTATCGAAGAGAATTTTGAAGAGGAATTGGCCCGGGGACCCGAGGTTTACACTGAGGTAAGAGTCTTATCCATAACAAATCGTCTTTTCGCATTAAAAGTGTTCAATTTCCAAAGATATTCGAAATTGAGTTAATATGCGGAATCATTTGGTATCACAAGTATTTTTCTCATAAATACTATCAATAAGAGCGAAGTTTAGTATTAGTTTTTTTTTTTTTAGTTGCCTATATTTTGACTACTATTAATTAAATTAATATATAATTTTATCTTAGTTTAAAAGACAGATAAGGTAACTGGTAAAAAAAAATGTTACAAATATGATTAATATTAAAAATATTACATGTTAAACCTTTAAAACACTCTCCTGTAAAATTAGTAAGTTTTGAGATTATACAGTTTTAATGCGAGAATACGAAATGTCAACCTGAACTGTATTTTTAGTGTACATATAGTGATGTTCCGACATGTCCCCCATTCCGCCCTCGACTCGTAGACAGGAGACCGACGATATTCTCATAGCTCAAAAAAGTATATTTGTGTTAATAGTTTAATTAAATCTTTCAATTCAATATTCACCGACCTCAATCTTATTGACATTGTGTTCGTTAGATTTTTCTAGTCGTTTGAAGCTAACTTCTACTATTAACGTATGTATTTTTATATATTATATATATTCTTTGTTTTTTTTTTCAATAATTTAATTTTCATACATACATAGCTGATATATTTTTTTAAATATAAGAATGTATTATTAAATCTGAACTTCGGCGATAAGTTGGGCGATTGCCATAGGCTTTGTTGCAGTTTCGAAATTGGACATCAGTGGGCCCACCTAGTATTAAGTGCTTATCAGAGCTCACCATCAGCATCAGTTTCACCGACTTCGAGACTCGAGCTTGATATATCAATTTACGCAAATTACAAAAAAAGTTATTACGCAAATTATAATTTTTGCTGGTATCATTTTTCATTATGGGTACGATGCTATTATGCTCATATCGCGGAAATCATTCATGAACGTGTACCTTATAAGTGCTTTATTGGAAAAATGGTTACCTGTCTACCTGATTTGAACAACGTCGCAGTTTTTTTTTTCTTCCTAAGCTGATAGCCTTGAGAGGCTATATCAGCGTCGCCTTAACTAGTAGGTGAGCTCACGGGGCTCAAACCTGATGACGTTGCTAACACGAACCCTAGCAAGAGCCGTGCTTCGCAGAATCTACCACCGGATCGGAAACGCGACCCACTGTGAAACTCAGTGGGCTCCGTTGCAGTCGCGTTGCTTGATAGGAGTACCAGTCCTCTTATCCTTTAAGGCCACGAAGACTGCGAACATGTTTTTTTAAGATTTTGTAAGGTTGACACAAAGTTTAGTTAACGAGTTTTTAGATCTTTAGAGAAATTACCAAGAAAAGCTTTGCACGAAAAATCGTGAACGTAGAGTCTCGCCAGATAACAAAAAAAAAATCAAATAAAAAAAAATGACCCATGTGTATCTTACATAAATATTTTAATTTACGCGCCATTCGTTAAAATGTTCTTGTGGCGTCAAAATGGAGCAAAATGTTTTTATTTATTTATTCTATCCGCCTGGTATCAGTGAACTGTTTGTGTGCAGAGCTATTGATAGGTATAATGAGGTGTCCTTCGTATAATATCAAGAGGTGGCCGTACACGTAGTTACTCATACTTTAAAAAGGCGATCCAGAATCGAAAACATCTTTTAAGATAGGTAACAGAAGTTTTAATGTGAATAAAAATTGAAATGAGTGGAAATTAATTTTATTTTTAAAGATAGGATTGATCATTATTACTTAACATTAGATAATTACAAAACGAATAAGATAGTAAAATTTAAACATTTTCTTAATTTAAGGAAACTCGCAAATGCTAAGAAAATGCTGACGAGAACATATAATTTTGTAAAATTCAATAATATTTCAATAAACAGAATGACCAAGTTTTTGGTCAAAACTCCAAGTTTAAGGATGTTATTTATCAAATAGTGACTGATATAATTATTTGGAGTCCTTGAAATATTATGTATAAGATTAGCAGTGGAAATTTTTACCACGAAGAAAATGCATGTTTCACTAGATAACTGACCACAACGTGTATATTAGGAGTTAAAGTATGAAATTGCCGATTTGTACTGAAAAATTGAAATTCGTTTTTTTTTTTCATTTCAAATATTTATTTAATCAAAATATCTACCATTATTATCTATACATCGCTGCCATCTAATAGAAAGGTCATTTATACGATAGAACTCTGGTAATCTAGATTCTACAAACTGTGTGAAAGCATTTTGTACTGCCTTTGGGAAGAAAACTTTTTATCACGTAGAAAGTTATCAAAATCACAAAAAAATTGGTAGTCCGTTGGAGCAAGGTCTGGCGAATACGGAGGGCGACGTATGGTTTCTAGTTGCAGTTCCTGTAGAGTTAAACCGGTATCTCGTGCTGTATGAGGTCTCGCATTATCATGGAGCAATAATGGTGAAGATCGATTCACGAGTCGGGGCTGTTTCACTGCAAGCGTTGCTATCATTATTCGGAGTTCGGCACAGTAGACATCTCCCGTTATTGCTTGACCAAACCGGAGTGAACCTGAGACCACTAAACAGTTACCATTAACTTTTTATTGGTAACCTTTGCTTTAAGACACTGTTGTGGCGGTTGACCTGGGCGAAGCCATTGCATTTTTCGCTTACGGTTATCGTAAAAAATCTACTTTTCATCACCAGTCACAATTCGATCCAATATTCCTTCAATTCTGTATCGATTCAACAAGGCAACATAAGTTTCAACACGCGTTTCTTTCTGCAGATCAGTCAAATCACGAGGCACCCATTTTCACATTTATTTTATTTTATTGATATGACGCAAATGAGTCAATATTGTTGGTAAGGTAACGTTAAACCATGCCGCTAATTCCTGGCTAGTTTAGCTCGGATCAGCTTCCACCCTCTTTTTCAATTCATTGTTATTCACATGTGCGGGCGTTCTTCCACGTGGTTCGTTCTTCAAAACAAAATTTGCATCACGAAAGCGTTTAAACCAAAATCACACGGTGCATTCGTTAGCAGTCCCCTCTCCAAACGCAACATTGATATAGCGAGCTGTTTCTGCAGCGTTAGTTCCGCGTTGGAACTCGTATTAAAAAATCACTCGAATTTTCAAAGTATCAATTTTTTTTGTCTAAGCTGAATAAATAAAACAACTGAAAGACGATAATCGAATGTTGCACATTTTTTAAAAGAAGAATCTCATAGGTACCATTTGAAAAAAGTTTCACTCAAAAATCTCAAACCATAAAGTTTCTATGTTAATTCGAAGTACCTATTACAATATAACGACAATTTCATACTTTAACCCCGATTACCTACAGATTTATCTACGTTTCAAGAATAGAGTGTGGAAAGCCAATAGAGATTGAAAAGTCGTCGTTGCCTAAAGGATAAGACGTCCGGTGCATTCGTATTGTAGCGATGCACCCGTCTTCGAATCCCGCAGGCGGGTACCAATTTTTCCAATGAAATACGTACTCAACAAATGTTCACGATTGACTTCCACGGTAAAGGAATAACATCGTGTAATAATAATCAAACCCGCAAAATTATAATTTGCGTAATCACTGGTGTTAGGACCTCTTGCGAGTCCGCACGGGTAGGTACCACCACCCCGCCTATTTCCGCCGTGAAGCAGTAATGCGTTTCGTTTCGAAGGGTGGGGTAGCCGTTGTAACTATACTGAGACCTTAGAACTTATATCTCGAGGTGGGTGGCGCATTTACGTTGTAGATGTCTATGGGCTCCAGTAACCACTTAACATGAGGTGGGCTGTGAGATCGTCCATCCAAGTAAGCAATAAAAAAAAGAAAGATTATTTAGAATGAGCGTCAATTTCATTAATTGCACTGCGTAATCAAAGTTTTGTTTATTAGAAGAAAAATAGATACATTTTCCTGCAACAATATTTAACATTCATTCTACAATAACATTATATTTAATCAATGTGTTTGTTTCTGTACGTAAATTTGTGTTGGTTTAAAGTTACTTATTTAATTTTAATTTATGTTATTTTAGTTAGTACATAATATTATATGATCAATTCCTAAATAAAGACCACGCTTTTGGGAACTAGCAATTCCGTGATCAACTCTAATATATGTAGATTCTAAACAATAAGATCCTTTTTCGTTTTTATTAGATTGCGGCGTCTGGATTAGACGAAGAAGCATTCTCCGATTTGAACAACCGAGGGGTTGTAGAAGTAGTGGGCGATGATGAGGTCGGACGGCGTGTGATCGTCGTGGCAGCTTGCCGCCTGCCACCCAGCAACGAGTTGAACCCAGATCAACTACTCAAGTAAGTCATTTTCCATGTATTTTTCTGTTCTAGATGGAAAAAAAAACTTAAGGCTCCATTAGACAGCAGACTTGAGTGGTTTCCGGAGACCATAGCGATAACGACGTAAATGTCACCAACCATGATCTTGAGACGCGAAGTCTCAATTGATTTGTATAAAATTAGTAAATTCGCATCTTTAAACCAGATCGCATAACTGCGTTGTTGCAAAAAATCAATATCTTTTTTTCTATTTTTTTGAGAATATCAATCCTAAAATTACAGTTTTGTGTACAGGTGGCTTTGACTTCAAATAAAGTATACTGATAAAACATCGCATTTTCTATGTAAATTGAAATATCTATTACAAATGTAAACTTTATATTCATACATATATGTAACAGTAAACAGTAAAATAAGTTATAAGTGTTGTAAGTTATAAAATTACGATCTGCGATCTAATTCGTGACGACTTAACGGAGATTTATAAACAAGTTACAAGAAGACTTTCTTATTAATTTTTATTAGAAAAAAAACTTTATATTATTTATTACCTACTTTATACGAAATAGATCCTTAAACACAGATGTTTAAAATTTATTTGTTGACTTAACTTCGTTTGTTTTAGTTAGCTAGTTTTTAAGACCAAGACCTAAACGATATAATGCAATTAGTCGTTTTAATGCATCATATCACTTCGTTTTAAATTAATGCGGATGGGATCTACTTAATTCCATTAACGATTGGTAGGAAGGCCAATCCTGGAATTAACCATTTGTGTATTCATTGTACACAATAGGAGACACGTCGATGCAATATAGATTGTAGACATAAATGTAATTATGAATTTCAACGAAGGTTTTAATTCGTCAGTTCTATTATTAATTATTATTTTTCTTTTTTTCATTTATTTTAAGGTATCTAATGTTCACACTTGATAAATACGTTGAACAAGATTACAGTGTTGTATATTTTCATTACGGCCTAAATAGCAAGAATAAACCACCTCTCTCGTGGTTGTGGAAAGCTTACAAGGCATTTGACAGGAAATATAAGAAAAATCTGAAAGCTCTGTATCTTGTGCACCCAACAAACGTTATACGTGTCGTATGGCAAATGTTGAGGCCCGCAATAAGTGTGAAATTCGGAAGGAAAATGATGTACTTGAACTATTTACATGAGTTACACCAGTATATAAGTTTGGAAAAACTTTGTATTCCTGATTCTGTACTTCAGTGAGTAGTATTTAAGTCTGTTTATTTTTGCTAACCAAGTACTAACAAACGGAAGGATTCTCGCCTGCTTGACTCATAATAATACTGGCTGCTCAGTACTCGTGCATCGGATCTCGTGGTCCAGGTGTTTCGTCTACTTAATTGCCTCTAAATAATCTAGATTGTAATAGTTGAAACTATATGACACGTAGTTCCCAAAGAGTAGAGCCAAATTAAAATCTCATAAAGTTTGACAAATCATACTGTTCATTGGCAATATTATTATTTTTTGCAACCTGTGACAATTTCTTATAGTTATAAAACCACTAATATTTTTACAATTTCACTACTAATTGAATTTAAAAAAAAATTATAGTTATATTTTGTTTAAAAAAAAAATACTTTTAGGTAATTGAACTTGAAATAGTATAGATACATATTATAATATAATTAGTCACAATTTGCACAACTAGATTGTATAATACAGAGCTTAAAAACTAATTTCCATTGCAAGTAGTTTAATATTTATTTAATAAGTAAAGTGAATTATGTCTTATGATTATACAAAGCCAATGATTGTATGGTGGTATGTAGTGACGTAGAGATTTTCTATAATTATATTTCTAATTTGTAATTACTATGTATTTGTTCCTATGACGTAGCTTTACCGCGTGTGCTTTATTTTGATGACGATGACAGTCGTGCCATTTTACTAAACAAACTAGTGGTGGCCATCGTGTGAACAACGCGTTATGTCTAATGTTTTTAGCGAGAGATGTGTGTGGCCCGCGCTTAGGAATATTGACTGATGAAATTTACATACAAAATTAGGCTTCAAAATTTGTTTTCAACAAAATATCTTGTATTGATCTTCTCCTAATTATAAATTCGTGTTAATTCAGATACAAACATTTTAAAACAATATCCTTCCTTATTGTATGGGGAAGTATAATATTGGCAAATGCAAAAGATTCCGGTAATCGTAACACCAAGTAAAGCGTTAGCTTGCCTGCTCATTAATGTTTCAATGAAAGTCAATGAATTCAGCCTTTCGATCATACTATTTATATAATGGACTGCAAATGTAGAATGCCCAAGTCGATTCTGGCTCCTTCACTAAAACCCGTCATTTGATATAATTTTTAAAAGTAAGCATCTAAGTAAGGATCGCATCTGCATCGGCATGCTCGTAAACGGTATTAGTAGAAGGATAAGTAGGCAGCGACTTGGCTGTGCCGCTGGCATCTAGGATCGACGGTAATCCCTAACCATAAAGTGAGGTAAAGGTTGTGGCATCAACTGTGGTTTTGTTGCGGTGAAATGATAACACCAATTACAATTTTATATTTAATTAAAGAGCTATCAAATACAAATGTTAATAGCGGAGCATCCAGCGTATGACTATCTCGAACTCAACCGAATGAAAAACATTTTGTGAGTACCGTCGAATCACTACATAGTATAAAACAAAGTCGCTTTCTCTGTCCCTATATCTGTCTGTCCCAATGTATGCTTAAATCTCTAAAACTACGCAACGGATTTTGATGCGGTTTTTTAATAGATAGAGTGATTGAAGAGGAAGGTTATATTATAACATCCATTAAATAGTGGAGAAATCAATAATAAATTACAGTTTCCGAAGCGAAGCGAAGGCGGGTCGCTATTATTATTATTATATAGTGCGATGCTCCAGCGCAGGGCCGTACTCAGCGCAGGGCCGCACTCAGACTCGCTACATGGTAAACACGTGTTTCTACAAGGGCATTAAACAAAATTAGCAGAATTGCACGACTGTATTCACTGAATGCAAATAAACGTTAAAGACTCGTATATCGTTTATAAGCTTTTCGTTTATTTCAAGTTCTTTAATAAATACAGTTGTATTAAAACAGTATACTGGCATGTAACAGATACGACAAAACGTTACTGTCGAAAAGTCCCCGAGCTGCCGAGATTGCTCAGAAGGTACTTGGCCGTTTCCTGGGCTCGTCTTCGAGTGCTAAAGATGATCAGGGCGAGAAGACCCCACGACCGAAAACCCAGCAGTTCGGTGTCTCCCTCCAATTTATCAGGGCCAACAACACCAATGTAATCGACGGTATACCACCTATCGTTCGTCAGTGCGTTGAATTCCTGTCGCGGCCTGACGGTAAGTCTTTTTCACATTATACCATACATCTTTTTTATTTTTATTTATAGTTACTAGCTGTATCCGTCCACTTCGCTGTGCATTTAAAATCTATATATTAATACGTGAAGTAAAAATTTTGTATCCCTTTTTACGAAAATTGTGCGGACGGAGGAGTATGAAATTTTCCATACCTATAGAGAATATAGAGAAGAAGTGCACAATGCTAATATTTTTCTTCAATAATGCATAAAAGATACATTCAATCAATAAAGAAAGCATTACACACACTACATACCATGTATTAGATGCACACATGCATGCAAACAATTTATTGTCAAACATTTGTTCTTGACGTCTGTTGTCAAATTGAGAATAGAATATGGTTAGTCTTTGTTAATATTTTTTATAGTGGGCGAAATTTGTGATTATAGAAGTATAAAATACAATCATAATAGTGTACAAACTTACAATTCCAATTAATTATAGTCGTATTTCGACTACTGCGGGACCTCTAGTTAACATTATTATCTCTCACCCTCACAAAGATTCTCATCATTAACGCCCCCACAACTGGTATAGGGAGTCCAACATTCATATAAATATTAACCTATCCATTAAGTACATGTATTTTCTACATGGATACCAAGTTTCAAGTCAATCGGATGCATGGTTCAGTAGTTATAACGGAACATCCGTAAAAACCACTGTAGATTTATATATTAGTATAGATATAGATTTGGAATAGGCAAATACGTAAATACTCTACGATTTTGTATAATTTGTTATTAATGTTACGAACTGTGATTCCATATAAAACAACAAAGAGATTTTTACCGAGCAAATTGTGTTAAACATATCTACTTTTTTTTGCAATGTTGGCTTATGTTTCGCATTTCGCGACTCCGATCCGACGTTGGTTCTAACATAATCAATGATGTATTTATCTAGTGTTGTCTAAGAAGGCTTCTATCGGTCAGGCTGTCTATACGCAGTAGTACCCCGTGGCGAAGCGGTGAAACAATTTATTGTCTCCACTTGCGCTTTCCTAGTTATATTTCATCCTGCATCGGGAACTACGAGCAGCGGGGTGTACTTAGTAAGGGCTCGATACTCAAAACCATCCCTTAGTCCGTAAATATAGTAACGCAGTTTAGACGATTAAAAATAAATTCAAATCTGGTTTCAACGATAACTTTGAACGAAAGACGATATATGGAATTCTTAAAATAATGTTTTTGTACTAAAACAAAAATTTCAAGTTTCAAACTTTGTTGAATATGAGCTAACTTGGATGAACCTTGAGTCACGCCTACTCAAATTTATACAGTATGCAGTTGTTATTTCTATATATATATTTTTTAAGTAAAAATATCGATATCAGTTAGGTCCGGACAAAAATACATAGCTGATACTATTAATACTCTTTTAGCGTCGATCACTTAGTACGAGAGTAGGCACATCCTCAAATGACACATTACATTATAAAAATTTAATTATTACTCAGTATATACCTACCTAAATAAATTAACCAGATTAAAGAAAAAAATGTTACATTAAAATGTATTTGAATGATCTTGCATTATATAATATGTACACGATATGAACGGATTAAGTACAAGAGTTAATAAGCGAATTTAGTATTATAAATAGGCGCATAGAAATAATTCATGATTTTTACGGCCAAGATATTATTTACTACATAGTTGACGCTTACATTTTTGTTTTACACCTGTGTTTTTTTTTTTTTTTTTTATTGCTTAGATGTTTGGACGAGCTCACAGTCCACCTGGTGTTAAGTGGTTACTGGAGCCCATAGACATCTACAAAGTAAATGCGCCACCCACCTTGAGATATAAGTTCTAAGGTCTCAAGTATAGTTACAACGGCTGCCCCACCCTTCAAACCGAAACGCATTACTGCTTCACGGCAGAAACAAGCAGGGCGGTGGTACCTACCCGCGCGGACTCACAAGAGGTCCTACCACCAGTGATTACGCAAATTAAAAATTTTGCGGGTTTGATTTTTATTACACGATGTTATTCCTTCACCGTGGAAGTCAATCGTGAACATTTGTTAAGTACATATTTCATTAGAAAAATTGGTACCCGCCTGAGATTCGAACACCGGTGCATCGCTCAACACGAATGCACCGGACGTCTTATCCTTTAGGCCACGACGACTTCTGTGTGCTTATTGCGAGTTTTTAACGCTCTCGATAGCGTAAAAGTTAACTCAAATTTGTTTGCAATTGGAACAGCGCCCCTAGCGGAAAACGCAGGCAAACGTTTCAACTCCATACAAACTGGAGTTAACTTTTACGCTATCGAGAACGTTAAAAAACTCGCACTAAGCATCGAAACATTCTAGATTAAAATAAACAATCGAAACGTATTTTACACAGCCCTGGAGACCGAGGGCATTTTCAGACGGTCTGCGAACATGGTGACAGTTAAGCAGCTACAGAATAGCTGCAACCAAGGCGAGCCAATCTCGTTTCGCGATGACCCCCATATCGCGGCCGTTCTACTCAAGACCTTCCTGCGTGATCTCGAGGAGCCCGTGTTGACCTACGACCTGTACGAGGAAATCCTCAAATTTCAATGTAAGTATTAACACTCAACTCGAATTGTGTCACTTTAAGTATCGTATATTGGGGGGAATAGGGACTAAGGGTAGAATTGGGAAAAATCTGGGTTGTCACAATGCTTTTGTGAGATTTAAATTTGTTGAATTGAAAATAACTTTTATTTAGTGTTTGAAAATTTTTAATAATTTAAATTAGGCATCGGAGTTTTGTAACTGATTAAAGACATTGAAAAGTTAATTCCCTAAAGGTAAGTACCTACATAACAACTAAACAGTGCCACCCCTATCGAAAAACTCTATTATCCCCATACGTGAGCCGATTCACCCTAAAGTCAAGGTGAATTACGTCAAGCTAGTTTTTTAAGATTTTGTGTATATTTTCCAATCAACTATATATTGTATATGAAAATTTAAACCTTTATTCGTATTACCCTAAAAAAAACCGCTGAAAATTTGTGTTGGAATTCAAAAGCGTCCCATTCCCCCCAATTTATTGTAAATTAAAAAAACACTTAATTAACGAAGCAAAGGTATCATTCAAATCATTCTGTTCCTTTTCTTGACGACGCGCAAGCCTTAAATATTGTTACAATTAAAATTAAAATAATATTAAATATGAGTTCGGGGCCTGTCTCTCTCTGTTTCTTAAATATTCTTGTGATATTGAAATGGAGTGGGGTGATAAAGAGAACCGAAATGCTATGATGATAATATTGTACAAAGTGGTTGGATGAAGACAAATTCTGCTGTTGAATATTTCTGTACCTGATAAGTATAACGAAACGTCCTCTGTGACAGAATGATAATCGTCCATGTATTATTTGCATTAAAGCGAAGATATCAATAGTGAACGAAAGAAACCACAGAAATTAGGCCCGAATGCAAAAATATTCTGTTCAGGAAAATAAATTTAATTATTGAAAGCATTTGGAACATTTACAAATTATTGTTATATATTATAAAAGCAGGACTTGCTGCATTTATGACACGCACACGATACATATCCGATAATTTATATTATGAATACGGTCGTAAAATCAAAACAAAACAACGCAAAAGGAGGTCAAAGAAGAAGAAAAAAAAAACCGATGCGAAAGTTATTACTATTGAGTAGCATTTTAATAAGCAGCGTGACCTAGTTTATGCAGATATTCCTACGGAAACTTCTCAATTAATAAGTAGAGAATAATGTACGGATTATCCGCCTTCAGTAGAATTGTTTGAAATTGTTTTAAAGTGCATTTCCGCAGGCTACCGCGAAAGCTATCGTCGGGCTTCTGTTGTTTTCGTACACAAGTGTACCCCGCCGACGGCCACAGAATCTGTTATTACGTAACGTTCTTTCTATTGTGTCAAATGCTGCAAGGTTTATTGCAAGAAGACCTACGATGATTATTTATTGTGTTTGAAGACCTAAACTGCCATTTTATTTACTTCAATAGATTCGAAGAAGGCTCTTTGAAACTAACAAGACACCTGAATTATTTTATAAAAAAACTACCTAAATTAAATTCTCCTTTCTTCTTCTGTTAAAGTCTTAATAATTTCCAACTCACACCGTAGCATTGTGCGGGTGTGGTATCTTCATGACTACATGACAAAATGAGTCACGACCTGTCCCGCGTCACTCAAATTAAGATAGTAATGCAGTTTACCGTCACCTGTTGAAATGTACCTTTAGCTATCAAGGTGGGATAGTCATATTTTCCTAAAAAAGTTTTCAAACCACTACCCTGAATGTATCAACGTCAGATTCTTGAGACGGTGTCCATGACTGGCTTTCTTAACAAGACTAAGCACCGCGTCGGAATGTTTTGAGTCACGAAACCGTTGCCGGAAAAAGCGTTTTTGACTTCATTAGGTCTGTACACTGACCGAGGTCTAGTCCCGATCTTAAACAGCTTGGTCATACTTTGTGGTCTCTGGTATAATTAAAATTCTGTCCTGGTGAAACTGGAAAAGCCTCCGGGCCACCAGTAATCCTTCAATACTAAAAAAAATATTATTAAGGCTTAATCTCTTTTTTTCTAACACTTAACAGTTAGGTAAAGTTTGAGCATGGCATATATAATAAAATGATAATAAATAAACTCAAGATACAGTAGAGTAAAAGCTCTACTATATTGACGGGATATATGTTATACGGAAAAGCGCGTTGTACGGAAAAGCGCGTTGACAAAGGGTATTTATTGGTTTGGATTTCCCACATATTGGAATGCTTTTATCAATGTGTATGTACCCGCAAATAAAGAAAGCTTTAGCCGCGAAGTTAAAAATTGGGTCGCATTTTTTTAATCCGCGAATAGTGAAAATGCAAATGAATGAAGTGCGAATAAGGAGCTTTTACTACATTTTTGATTACGTTATTGGCCATAAAAAAGAGTTATGTGACATGCCCAAATCGCCATTTGGACTTTAAAATATCAAATACCTCGCAAGATTGACGGTGACAAATTGTCACATGGAGAGAGTGCGTGTTTCAAACGATAGAATCTTTTTCAATGCGATATTTTTTAGGTTTTTTCAAATCTTATTAAAAACAAATAAATATATATTAATTATATTAGTAAAAAATAATACAATGAATATTGTTACTTTTGATCGAAACAAAAAGCAAAATTTTCCTTTAACAATATTTAGTGCAAGTCTAAATGTTTGATTTTAATTTGTTTATTTTTATTATGCATTAAAAAACAACTGTAAACTAAACTTAGGCCAACCAGACCAGATAATAAACATAAACAAGCGAACCGTTACTGAGTTACATTGCGATAGTGAGGGATTATTATCTCTGTCCTTATCACTCGTACGCGCAGTTATGGCGTCAGTTGGTCGACAACAGCTGTCGTTGTGTGTTTCGTGGTACAGGAAGGCACTGAGTACCGCAGTTGTCAACATTTGGTCCGCCATTTTGTGAACAAGTTCATTCCTGTTTGAATTGCGTTCGAAGTGATACATATTTTTTCGTTTCCGTATTTACTTGGTTTGTTGTTGTTATTATTCCGTTTTTGTTAGTTTTATTTTTTATTTTTGCTGTTATTGTGAGTACTTAGTTGTTGATTTAAATTATGGATCCAACGTGTATCTGCTGATAAATGGCGAAAGTGTGGATAATGTTATAAAAGTCGTGGATAATTTTTAAAGCAATATTGTCAACATGATTGATTATACAATAGATAGTTTTATCATAAACACAGCTGACTCGGACTCTTCCGACGAATCATCTTTGTCTAGTACAGATGACAGCGATTAAAATTCGAACTTTGTAATAATTAATTAAATAAAAATGGTTTTTACTCCTGAAACTTTGTTTACGTTTTTTATCTCGTCTGGTTGGTACTTTACACTAATACGATTTCATTGGAATTCTACACTTCAAAGAAATTTAAAGTAAAATATTCTCTAGAATCTCTATTTCTTTTAGAAAGATATTGTGCTCTCTTATAGAGGTAAATCACCCGGACATACTTAGGTATCGTCGCTGTCAAACCAAAATCTGCTATGTGCAAAAACTCTATTTTGAATTTACGAGTAAAAACATTTTCGTATAAAATTTCATATGAAGGTGAATTTTTAAGAACTATATCAAATGAAAGCTTTAGATAAATATTAAAGCTATAGACACATGACAGTTTTTTTATACGGTATATAGGGCTGTGAACTATACGAAAAGGTCAAAAAGTAAAAATCTCCAAAAGTGCACATAGCAGATTTTGGTTTGACAACGACGATATATGGGTTTGGTGGTGTTTCAGCGTGGCCTAACGCAGAGAAGCCGCGCAATGTGAAGATACTGATCCTGGAAAGACTTCCGATTGAGAACTACAAGCTGTTGAAATACTTGTTCCAGTTTCTGTGGAAGGTACGTATGTAATGTATCGATGAATTTTGTCACGTGACATATACAGACTTTTCGAATCGAAGAGTACACGAGAATGCTTCTGAAAGCCCCTTTTACACTGTACTAATTATATTTATTGGTCATAAATTAAGATCATCGCTTCCTATTAACTTCCCTTTTGATGAAATTCGGTAATTCTACGCTACAAAACATGATTTCATTCAAATAATTGAGTCCACTAGTCGACCAATCGATGTTAAGCTTGTTACTTTAATCGCAATTAACTGTTAACATTTCCGTTTTCACACTATAGATGGAATTTTATTTCGTTGCCATATTTATAACGTTTTTTTAAAATTAGTTACTAGAGTGACGTTAAGCATTTCATTATATATGTATTACTGCAAATCACTACATAGTATAAATCAAAGTTGCTTTCTCTGTCCCTATATCCCTCCCTATGTATGCTTAAATCTTTAAAACTACGCAACCGATTTTGAGGCGTTTTCTTAATAGATAGAATGATTGAAGAGGAAGGTTTATATGTATAATAACATCCATTGAATAGTGGAGAAATCAATAATAAATTACAGTTTCCGAAGCGAAGCAGGGGCGAGTCGCTAGTTCCAATATAATAGCGAAAAAAACTGCGAATGTTAGACTAGTAGTGCCATCTGTTATCAAGAAACAGAAACGAAATATGTATACAAAATACACTCGTGTTGTTTGTTGTAAGCGAAACTAATATTAATGGGATTAAATTCGAACTCCACCTTTAATTTTTGTTTCCCTCCAAAGTTTGATAAAATTATCTACTCTATTTAGATGCATCCTTGAGTTGTTCAACGCTAAGCTCACGATTAATATCTGCAACAGGAACAATATGGCACGAAGCGGTAAAACCATCCTACCTATTTCTCGACTGATAAGATAGCTGTTATTTGTATGCTAATTAGACTAAGATCCCATCTTCACGGTTACCTTTAAATTCATGCATTCACGTTATCATGTTTATGGCTCCGTACTATTGTTAATCGAAGGACTTTGGTAGTCGCCTTACAGTCGGCGAGTATGTACTACGCCTATTTAAAAAAAAACACGGCAAATTAATATTTTTAGTCCTGATCTTATTTTCACTAATTTTGCATAAATTATTTAAGAATTTCTGAAATGAAGTAGCTTTCAAAATTTTTATCTTAAAAAAAAAAAAAAAGATAAATTTAGAGCAAAATAATTTTTAATGGTTACGTTACAGATGCACGTGCTAATAAACGTTCGTACAGGTCATTAACTAATACCTATAATCAAAGTGAGCAACTAGTCGGTATAGACGCTCCGCACTTTACACGCATTAATAGAGAGTCGATCTATCGACGATTCGCTCTCAAAGGGTAACCCTTTATAACTACTTATTACTTTATAACCTATTGTTATAGTTATGTTAGTATTTTTCTCGGTTTTCGCGAGACGTTGACGTATTTGACAAATACCTTTACGATTTAACCTCGCCTTTTATGTTTTTATTATATTATTTATGACGTTTTAAATACTTTACAGTTTTTGTAGTCACGGAAGACTGCCAATAATGTTATTTAAGTTTTAATATTAAGGTTTTAGTTATTTTAGTTTTAAAATATTATAACAATTGTTAGAGTTTTTACTGGTGGTAAGACCTCTTACGAGTCCGCATAGGTAGGTACCACCACCCCGCCTGTTTCTACCGTGAAGCTGTAATGCGTTTCGGTTAACGCCGTTGTAACTATACTGAGACCTTAGAACTTATATCTCAAGGTGGGTGGCGCATTTACGTTGTAGGTGTGTATGGACTCCAGTAACCACTTAACATCAGGTGAGCTGTGAGCTCGTCCAACTATCTAAGCAATAAATAAATAAAAGGGTAAATAATAATATTTAAAAATAAAACCTTGTGCTAAACATGTATGTTTTGAATAACCCGAATATGCGTTCGTCAGGTAAAGGATCGAAGCTGTCTGAACAAGATGACCTGCAGCAACCTGGCCGTGGTGTTCGGTCCCAACCTGGCCTGGCCCCCCAGCGGCCAAATGTCCCTGCAAGCGATCGCGCCAATCAACGCTTTCACCGACTTCACCCTGGAGAACCAAGAGTCGATCTTCATCATCTAAATATTTCCGACCTAATACTTTCGAGATACGTACACACACACACACACTTTGTTTTTGTTTTTGTTTTCTCGATTCTCTTTTATATTGTTTCATTTAAATTCTAAAATTTCTATTGACCTAACCATGATTAAATTATGTGAATCTAACAAATAGAAAGCAAAAATAAAATTCTACGTAAATGAAATGATTGCAAAACGTGTCCAGTCGAATTTCTGAATGAATGATCATTTATGTTTATCTATATTTTAAATCTTTTTATTTACTCTAAAATTCCTTAAGGCATTTAAAAAAAAACAATCCAATACATTTCATATTGGTTTTACACATTCCCTTTTTGCATTCGATCCTCACTTGACACGTCAATGAGCCTTATACGATTATTAAGTACCCACGTTAACAATTGGATTCCAAACTAAAATATGCAGCTTGCCATATCTGACCATATCGAGAGGTGAAAGGCCATTTAGTTTAAGAGACGTTTTTGAAACTACAGGAGAGCCATTTAAAGATTAAAAATTGGAAAAAATCATGAAAAAAATAACTTAAGCTATTTGAATGGTGTAAACTTAATTAAAATGAATTTAATTGATAAAGATAAATTTCGCGTATTTAATGAAATGTCGCTTTCACCCCTCGAATATTTTTTTTTATCTAGACCAGTACCGTACTGTTTAAGGAAAAAATTTGTATTATTTTATTTTACCTACTTCATTGGAGCACGTTTGTGGCACAATACCTGCCTTTATTTATCATATTTATTAATTAATACAATAAAAACATTTTAATTTTCGATGTACATTTAAGAGAAACTTTCTCGAGAATGAAACCCGGATGACAGAGCGCTCATTTCTGCAATTACATTAAAAAAAAAAAATGGCGACCTAAATATAAAATATTCATTTACAGAAACGGTAATGGTATCTACAAAAAATATGTATTTTGGCCTATTAATTTAGTTTATTAATATTGTATTCCGTTTTTTTTTTAAATTACTTTTTTCTTGGAACGTTTACTTTGCATCGTGTATTGATATTTATTTACAATTTTACATAAATATGATTACGTTTTGTTGTGTAAATGTCTACTTTTCTTAGGTAATTAATTAATATAAGTTTCTATTTTCATAATAAATCTTAGTATATTATATAACTGATTTGGAGATAAAAACTTTTAAATTTGGTACATAATCTTCTTACTGGTAAGAGAAAATATTGTAATTAGTGAAATGGGACACAGGGATTTTGAAATATTTTTTACTAAACAAAAATTTGGATCCGACCTATTGGTGATTCCATCCACTTGTCATTATGTCGTACGTCCATTATGTTCATTAACGAAGATCCATTATTATTTTCGCGGGCTGTAGATGTTTATTTAGTTTTAATTGGATTGTGTTTCGCAATGTACAATGAAAATTAATTTAAATTATGTCACAACTCCCTATTGGAATATGGAATTAGTTAACGATAAACAAATTTAATTCAGTAACTAAATTTACTCATTATAAATACTTAAAACTCCAGGAACTATACGTGTGTACGACTTCCGCCTTTGATTCTGAATTTCAATTTTATGTCGTGTTATAAGTTAATTTAATGCCAATTTGACATAATCATGGCTATTCCGTGTTCGACGTTTGACAAGTTTATATTCATCGAAAATTAGCTATAAGTTAGCATCGTTATGAATGTAGTAGAAATTAGAATTTAATTCATTCATGTATACCAAAAATAACAAAGAATAGGTTTAGTTTTTTTTTTCTTTTTTTTTTCTTTTATGTTGTACAGTAGTCTGCATTATTATTTATCATATTTTTCATTTGTTTCTACACGTTCGACATTTGTTATCGAACACTACATACGTAATTTAAGAAACTATTTTTACGGTTTAATCTCGTTATTTTTATTGAAATTTCTACTAAATGGTTGACATCTGCGCTGTTAAGTACCTATACAAAAATCGTTTTCTTCCGGAATTTCTATTTAATAGTTCCTCTACGTACAGGGTTGCCTGGAATAAATCGCTTTAAGGGATAAGACCGCTAATTGAAACACGTTTAACTGCTATCACACAGTTTACTGATAATTCTTTACTTGCGGTGTTTTAATAACGATTTATCTATTCCAGTGTAATATTTAAAGTGTGTCAATCTGTGTACTGTATGTAATTTTTTATGATTTACATATATACCTAAAGAAGTCTTATTTTTAAAGTGATTCTATAGAGTGCATATTGGAATTGTTTGCTCTTCATCTTCATCGTCATTATTATTATTATTATTAGTAACTTGACATCAATAATAATATTAAAAGCACTAGAGGTGATTGAATATAAAAAAAATCTCGACTTTACCTTTTTTATGCCAAGACAAAAAATCTCAGTCGTTCGTGCCAACGAAAATTGTAAAATGAAATTAATAAATTCGAGATTAAACTGTACATACTAAAAATAACAATAGTGTGTTAGACTGTTATGATATTACCTAAATTCATTTATTATTACACCTGTTTATCTCTGTGAACGTCACAAATGTAAAAGTGTGAATCCAGAATTTAATTTAGAATCAATAGATAAATAAATTATCGGGGACGAATCCGACAGTCGTCTAGCCCTAAATTAGGATTATTGTGGTATGTGAATCAGAGACGCGATATACATGCTTATATACTTATCAGTGGATTCATATATAAATAAACAAACACGGTGTAAGCGATCTTGTTCTTCATACGAGCATCAGACTGAAGTGGGAATCGAACCAACGACCCCCGAGCTAGCAGGCAAGAGTGTTACCTCGCTACCGAGCCACAGAATCGGCGATACATACCTAATATCCAAAATTCTATGTTTTTTTTATATAATAACAAGATGTCAACTGTTAAAAGGTAACATAAGAACGTGACTATTTATGTATTTAAAAAACTACCTACCTATTACTATTTTTACAAATTTTATGAGGGTTTTATATAGTATTTAATAGGACTTTCCTTAACTTAATCAAATCACTGAGTTCGTAACGTTTTTAACGGAAGTTGGAACAGAGATGTTCAAGGTGCCTATTAAATTACTTTTTTGAGTTTCAATAATTTTATTACACACAGTTTGCATTTGTAACAGAATAGCTAATAACCCCAGGCAATCTTATATTATGATCATATTTATATTACTGTAATTACTATTTTAAGCCAAGATCGGACAAAACCGATAAATATTATTGAAATATTGTAAACTTTGTCATCACATCACATCACATATACTAGTTTGATTATGATGACCGGTGTGTGAAATTTATTTTGGTGCCATCTTAGAGTTCATACATACATTATTAACACTGTTTGTGTCATTATTATCCAAATTCATTGTTTAGTTTTGTTCTGTCATGAAATGTATATTAATAATATTAAATTAGGCAATTTATTGTATTCGTACCTTTAATTAACTTTTAAATCATTGTTTTTTATTCAAATGTTTATGAGTCGCAGAATCTCTTTTATCTAAATTTCGACATTCCATACATACCTTCTAAACTGTTTTTTCCCCCATATTACATGATTGGGATAATGTGTGTAGATGTTAATGTTAAGGATAGATGTTAAATATAATAATATGTATTAGATAGTGATTTTTTTAAAAGCGATACGTATATGCGCTTTATAAAAGCGATAGTTACAGTCTTGGCGGTTTTACGTTTTAACATCATAATAAGTGGTAATAATAATCATCAACAACTTGTTATTTTAATTGTAGCATTACAAGTGAAGTACAGTGTTACTTATAGTCACAACAGCAAGATGCTAATTTGTTGAAAAGTTGTATGAATTTCCAAACCAGTTGTAATTTCATCAAAAGAAATTTATAGTTGTTTTTCACTGTACTTGAAATTATTTCATTTTTCTTGTTAAATGCGTAAGTTATCATATCTAGAGTAAAAACTTTTAAAGTTAATATATCAACTGTTAACATAATATAAAACTTCAAAACTTCAATAAAAATATTAGTTGAATGTGTCATAATAGTTGCGTTTTTATTTATAACAATATCAATCCTACTTATTATAAAATGTATTTGTACTAACATAATTTGTAAGCTCTAATTATAAAAGATAACAATAATCAACAAGCTGTACTAATACAATACAATAATAAACCGAATACAAAAAAATTACCACGAAAAAATAAATTTAACATAACAACTCACAATCCAGATGATATTTAGCAGATAAATATTATCTTAAAGTTAAATCTTGAATTTTAGTAATTTTTATATTATTGATAAACCTAGCAATAATTAACTAAAGTGTATATGGATTAACAAAAATTACGAATTTAAATTATATTACATAATGTACCATTAGAATATAGAAATGTTCATTCTAATCAAACATTTAGATTACCTACATACAATTTTGATAGGTATATATATTTGAATATTTACTGATAGTTCCAAAATGTAGTCAGTGTGGATGCTTTTTCTAGCTTACCAAACCGGCGTTCAAATTAAATGTCTAATTTCTAATCATATAGGTAAGCATAATGCTCATGGACTTACTAAGTTAGTTGAAGCACCGTCTCAGGTAGAAATTGATTTGCAATGATGCAATAAAATAAAAGATGTCTGAGTTTTTATTAAATGTTCAGGAGTAAAGTATAGCTATCTATATATTTTTAATTAGACGGTACCTACAAATGTTGGTGATTGCAATGATTTTCTAAGTAAAATATTATAATAAAAAATATTGTTCTATGTAAAATGGTTGGTGCCTGAATTACAGATAACAAAGAAGGAAGTTTTTTAAACATTTAATGTGTAATATTTATAATTATAATGTTATTTCAAATGGATGAAGGAACAAATTATAGCAAATAAATTAGCAACAATATGAAAAAAAAGGGCAATGCAAAGAGTAAGCTATCCTTGACACAGTTTAAGTTACAGTGCTTGAATAGTAATTATAAAACGAATCCTCAGAGTAAAGACACACTTTAAGTTGATTATGCAATAAAAATGCAGAATAGTGGTAAAGTTCTGGATACAATAATATAACAAAAATAACAATGGATTATATGAAAACTTGATGATCAACAACTTAAAGAACCATGATTCAGGTTAGGATTTTCAACTCTAAATCATATTTAGCACTGAAACAGACCATTGAAAAGTCTCAAATTTGAAATTGCAAGGGAAATTGTTTCACATTTGCATTCTTTTCTTATTGTCTTTTAGTAATCTAACTTAAGCAAATAACTAAAAAGAATAAGAAATTTTATATAACCTGAAAAATATGTTTGGTGTAATAAATTCGAACAACTTAGTAAGCAATAACACAACGCATTTACTTAGGATTGAACTTGAACAGTAACAACAGTCAATCAACAACCTGTTTCTGCAGAAGTCAGGTTCACTCCTCACGGCTGTAATATTTATAGCATGAAATATGTGTATGGATTGTGTGTATTAAGCTCAGTTAATAAGATTCGGATTTATTATTATGAATAAACATCCACTACTCTTTTCCTCTGTGCTCATACAATCCGTATGGAAACACGAACTTTAAGTTACAAATTGAAGTATGCAATAAACTTTATGATAACTGCTTGGAAATCTGATGTTAACCATTAAGAAGTTTAAGTGGAAGTATAGATGCTTAGGTAAAGACCAAGACCCAAAAATAAACAGGTCCAAAGCTATGTTTGTCAGTCTGCAGCCTCCACTAATGAACCCGTTTGTTCCATATGTCCAGTCCACTGCCAATTCAGCTAGCCGAGCTCTCTGAGCTAAGTTTATGACTCAACATTTTTTGAGAACTAAGAGATTAAACACTTAGCTTTTTAATACATATAATACGGTCTCAAAGGCACTGCCTGGATAAGCTTCTCATTCTTGATCAAGTGGGGGGGAATGAGCCAAAGGCAGGGCCACAATAAGATGGTCGGAGACTATTAAGAGGACAGTTGGAGTCAGCATCCAACAGGCAACCCACCTTGCAGCAGACTGATCTCCTTGGAAAGACTTACATATGTGTTGTTGTGATCCTCAGTAATGAAGGAACAATGAAGAAGAACTAAACTAAATTTAAAATTACACAAAGCAAAGTTCTCTGTTTAGTAAATAAAGACTTTCGATGATTACATTTATTCATTTAAAATCATTCATATTTTTCCTAAAATTTCCAGTTTGGTAAGTTATAATGTTTGTTCATTGAACAACAAACCGAAAGGACAAATAGTTTGTATAATATAGTATTTGATATACTATAGTAAAATAAATAGGTACGTAAATATACTAACATTTATTTTTAAGGCTTCCAGCTTTGTGATGGTACCTGTGATACTACTTTATCAGTAACTGTAAGCTTAATTCATTGGTTAAGGTATTTATTACCTAGGTAAATTCACTGATAATCTACAAAAAAATCGTCATTTAATTTTTTCAAATAACCAATTGATGCACATAGTGATTCGGTATAATAATTTCCGTGGTTAGTTGAAATCTTTTGTGAAATTGTTACTCAAACTTCAAATCAAACTACATTAGAAATTTTCCTATGATGTCATTGACTGGTGTCATTGACAGTAGACAAGTAACAAACATGTAGGTAACAAACTAGCAAAGCGAAATGGGAAAATAATATCTAATAAAACAGCTACAGCGAGTGTTGCCACTCGCCAAACATCTACTTTCAAAATCATCAAGGTAAATGGTGCCATCGCATAGATTTTTTATGGATGGTAGTGTCACGGCTGGTTAGGACGGATGGAGCGAATTCAATGCTTCAGCCTGGAGGAGAAGGCTAATAATAGAGGAGGCCTAATATTTCAAGGGCAGCTGTTTCGCGAGTGCATCTACCACCGAATCGGATTCGCGACCCATTGAGAAGATCCGGCGAGAATCTCACCGGGCTGATGCTATAGATTAAGATGCAGGTTGAACTTTTCAATAAGTTCGACGAGTATCCTGGCCTGTTTTGATTGCTGCTAGTAAAAATCCATGATGACCTTTACAACATCGAGGGTGTCTGGGTTTTCATCGACGGTGTCTGTCATACCTAGTATGTGGATAGCGATGATCATTATATCCTGTAGCGTTTCCAAAACGGTAATCCGCTTCGAATGGATTTGAAAATTAGGTCGTTTTGAAGATCAACATTACTTATAATATATCATGATACTCCAGACCCTATCCTATGCATATACGAGACAGGCCCGTCTGGGTGCGTGCAGGTGGGTCGCATAACCGACCACTGCGACCGCATCTCGCAGTCGCGTTTGTAAATGAAAGGATTTAAAGGTCCGAATAGGACTTTAAATTACGAAAGTTAGTCTAGACGTTCTAGTTGATAAATAAAACGATTTGCTCATCAAGTTATAAGACCTTATAAGAGTTTTCCAAAATATTCTCAAATATATTTTAAATTATTATTGATTAGCTCAAATAATTTTTGAAAAATAAAAATCAGTGAATGGGTAGATTGTTCACATGCTCGTTGAAAGCTGTCGGATTCGTATTCGTTCTCGCTTCGTAAATATTACATAACTCGTAAAACTTAAATTTTAAGAAAATAGAGAACTGTCAGTGTCCCTTTCGAAAGGATTCAATTTGAATGCGAAATGGCCACGAATTTTAAATATTGTATGTGTAATAAGAGAAAACCTTTACTGAATATAAGGTTTTAATAAGCTAAAATTAACAGTAAAATTTGCTTTGATTACATTAGGTACATTGACAAATAACGAATAAAATAGATTGACAATGACGTCAACTTATGGCTAATAATTTAAACTAAGAAGTTTACATCAGTATGTAAAAAAATTATGACAAAAATATTATGTAGGTTAACGTCTTGGTGTTTAGTGGTTAATGGAGCTCATAGATCGCACATTGAGACATAACGTTGAAACTTTTATGGTATTATGTAAAGCTCAAATAACAAAGCTTAAATGTTAATAGCTTGTTCGCCTATTAGGGAGCATCCACTGATTTGTTTTTTTTTATTGCTTTTGTAGGCAGACAAGTATACAGCCCACGAGATAGCTAGCTTCGTTTTTTAACATCAACCACATCAATGGACTCAGTCAACCTACTCTCTATTACTAAATAAATTGTTTTGATTTCAGTTTGGAATCATTCCTAATAACAACCGCAATTTTTATACCTTTCTTTATAAAATTATTTTTGGGAACCTACCATTTTTAGTTATATCCATAGTTATTTATATATATAACGTCATAAATAACTAAATCACAAACAATATTTTACATCAAATTAGAACATCTTATCTTTAAAGAATTTCTATGGTTCAAATAAGCTAATTACAAAGCTAGCTTATTTTAGACACTATACTTTACAGTCGTAAACATCACACTAAATGTTAATAAATAAAAAAACTATTTTTGAACAAATTTAACTAATTTAAGTTTATACTAAAACCTATTTGTAACCTACTAGCTTTTGCCCGCGACTTCGTCCGCGTGGAATAGTTATTTTGGCATAACGATAAACTTTACCCACCTCTGCATTTACGTAGAAAGTGAAAATATTTTTGACTAATAGAATGCTAAGGAGCTATTGACTTTAAAAGTGGAAGTTATTAATTCGACCATAATTTTTTATCTAAATACGTTTGTTCACCGATTTCTCGAGAATGCTTGAACCGATTTGAATTGTTTTTTCTTTTTTTGGTCGAAAGGGTAGACTTCTCGAATAGTCCTGTAATCATCAAGATCTGATGATGGGTTCCTGGAGAAATCCAGAAAAATCTATAATTGTCAAAGCCTATCTTGTAGTGATTTGGGTGTTTCAATGTTGTAATGATTAACGTATTTATTTGTATAGGGATTAATATAATCTTTATAAAAACACCTTCACAAATAATGCTTTATTTTAGAACTAATTTGGTTAGCATAAAGTTTCTGAGATTAGCGCGTTCAAACTCAAACAAACAAACTTTTCAGCTTTATAATATTAGTGTAGATTTGTAGGATAGTTGCTGAGCTTAAATTAATAATAATAACCAATAATAATTGGGAAAGAATCACGCGCGGTTGTCCGGCCCAAAATTAGGATCCCCTGTATTATTGACACCCGAGACTGACATACATATATAAATACGTTTAAATAAAAGCTAAACACCGAAGCAAAGAGCAAACAAACCTCATCACACAAATTGTTCCCAATGTGGGAATCGAAACCACGACCCCGGCAGAAAAGCTAGGACCGCTGCACCACCGAGTCATCAAAATTAATTTTAATACTATTAAAATAATATAGCAAGAAATCTTAGGAATTTTCATTTTGTTGATTTTAATTTTTTGTCGATTGGTAACATTACTGTTAAAGCGCCAACTACCGGTAGATTTTCGAAACTTCATATTGATAACTCTCGCTCTATGTTCATGTTGTAATTTTATTCTTAGTAATTTGTGCTATTTGCCAACAATATCGAGTTTATTGAATATGTGCTCTTGTTTGGTTCACTCTCGGTTATAAAGAATTTAATATCTGGGCTCCATGTATATGTTATGCGGCAAGTTCCTTTCAAAACCAATGACATTAGATGAACTCGATGTGCGTTTTGGCCATTTTACTTGGCTTGCGTTGGTGATTCGTACATAGTCACGTGACCACAGTGGTTTTTGGATCAATGGCGCCAAATGACTTTTACAGAAAATGTATGTAATAAAATAGAATTCATAAACACTTTTCTAGTTTAGAAGTGAATATTTAAGTTGATTTTCATATACAAGATTCACATTCATACAGAAATAAAGCAGAAAAGGATGCGTATAGTCACGTCAATCTGGCAACAAACAGTGCTGCTATCTATGTTGTCAACTTTGTTATGTAGTGTACAATGGATATTAACCGTGAGATAAATATTTACGGTAAATTGTAATATAATGATTTTATGGATACGTTATAGTGTTTAGTAGGTGAATTAACGGTGTGAGGTGCGCAAGTGAAACATTTTTGAAAGAGGTGGCACGCATCCTGCCGCTATTTACAATACCCCTCTACCAGTGGCCCGCCATACATTTTAGTCGTGCGATAAATGTGAAACGTCAAATGATTTTGTGGATGAAATTGAATTCTTCTTTAAAAAAATGAATACCAGAAGTATGGTTTATTATTCATTTTTGTTTGTAAAGGTAATGTTCGAAGTAACAGCAATCATAAACTTGCGTACAAACACAAATTGAATTGTCGATTTAGACTTAAATATCGGGAACTGTCGTGTTTAGATTCAATGCGTGATCGAGACATATGTAAACATTGAGTGCACATTGTTTTGTTGTTTGTTGTGTGATTCAGGGAAAGTGTAATTGTCAAACTTGACAGGAATGTTTTTGGACTACAATTTGTTGAGATGAATCTTGACTTTCAGTTAGAACACTTTGCACTGTGGCTCTTACCTCTTGCTATTTAATTATAAAAAACTTTCCTGCTTTCAGGTATTGGGAACGCAAACTGAAATGCCATCATGTAGTGAATGATGTGACATTCTACACGATGCTGCTACCACGTTCTAAGTGCAAAGCTGTAGTAGGATCGTGAACATGTAGGTTGTGGACATTAGTGCGAGAGATGTCGATGAGAGGCACAAAAAGGGCGACAGTGACGCGCGGCGAAGAGCCCAGCACGTCTAAGCGCCGCAGGATGGAACCAGAGGATCCTCTCTGGCAGCTACGTCCTGTCAGTGACCTCAAGATGTCATCAATATATAATAGAAGTGCCTCGGAGGCACCTGCAGAATTATTCAGGTTTGTGCAGCACCATTTACTTTTCCTCATCATGTTTTAAATTCTGCATTAGCCTCTGACATTAACATCTTAGAATTTGCAAGCTATGAATGGTGCAAAATTTGTGTAACTTTGTATAGAAATTAAAATCATTGAAGCTATTTTAGCTGTGCGAAAAATATGTTAATTTTACTTGAAAGAATTTAAAAAAATCTTTGAGTCACTGTTATTGAATTATTTACTCTGAAATTTAATAAAATGAGTAAAAATAACGTAAATTTAATGTAAAATATCACTATATATTAAAGAACAACTAAGCAGATTAAAATAATGATCATACAAGAGACAACTAGTAGACATAACATTTATAATTAAAATGCAATGAAAGCGAATTTGTTAATGAAATGTTATAAATATCAAAAAAATAGTTGGCATAAAAATAACAAGGTAATACATAGTGATGTTATTCAGTCAATTTGTAACATAGCTATAATATACTATAATAAGTTCTCATAAATTCAATTAAAATTTTACTATCTTCAGATAACTTAAGTAAAAAATTAGATTGTTTTTAGTTACCGTATTAAGACTGAATTTATTTATTTTGCTGTGCGACACATCAATAACTTTTGCAATGATTGCATCTTGCGAAAAATCTTTGGGAAATTAAGCTTGGCCTAGACAAATAATGAGCAATATAAAAAAAATGATTAAAGAAAGTGGATTTGCTTCTCAAAGAAATTTGTTTTTGAAATCTACATTTATTTGAAATAGCTCTGTAATGAAATATACGTTTATCAAAGAAAAGCTAAAAAATGCCATAAACGATAAAATAAGTCTAGTAACAAAAATTAACATTAAGACTTCAGATATGAGAGTGCACCAATCAATATAATCAAAGTAAAGGGGGTGATTTGATTGTTTCTAGAGTTGCAAGCTTCTTTGAATTACAATGTTCACTTATTTCCTCTTAATATTTGATTTGTGTGCTGTATCAAGCCATGTCTATGATTTGGTTATTATTTTAGAGTTAATTATAGCTTCTATAATTTACCTAAGCAGTTTATTTGTAGCAAATAATCTATATAAAATAAAACCAACTTAACGTTTAAGTTACTTTTTAGAGTACAATCTTGTATCATAATTCATTTCATGTCACAAGGTAGAAAATACAATGATGTTCACTTTTGTAATTGAATATGAGAGAATGATAGGTAACTTAGAACAAGCTTTTCATAACTAGTCTGTTCTCATGTATTGTCTTTCTGGAACTGGAAACTGAATGGAAACAAATGAAAACCAAAAATAATAGCAATTAGTTAATTCAAGCACAAGCTCTTGGCATTAGTAATAGTTCATAGATCATGTTTTGTGATCCCTTAACTAAGGTGAACATAGCTTTTGAAGATTTACCTTATACAACACATGCGAGACTCCACATTGTCTGATTTTAATTCTGCCAGTGCGTTTCTAGGGGTCTTGTTTGGCATGTACCATCTGGCTATGGAATGGCTCTCCTCCACGATGTTTCCTGAGGGCTATGACATGTCCTTCTTCAAAAGAGGCTTGTGCAGAATATTAAGCGGTAGGCAGCAGCTTGGCTCTGCCCCTGGCTTTGCTCGAGTCCATGGGCGACGGTAACCACTCACCATCAGGTGGGCCGTAAGCTCGTCTGTCTACAAGGGCAATAAAAAAAAATACTATCATTTTCAACTTCATTTACAAGAATGGTACCCTTACATCTTCACTATTTTAGATCTTTATAGGTCTTAAGTATTCAAGAATAAAAGATGTACACTTCAATATCATGTTAATCACAATTGTTGAAACTAGATTTTTATAAGGAAAATTTCAATGTAAACCATTTTGTCGAACTATCATTTACTTCTGTATAGGACATGTACTCATATTTTAAGTAACGTCAACTGTCTAAATTACTGTTGTAGCTTATGCTTTAGTAATTTGGACCAGACTAATAATGAATTAAAAGAGCTTTTAATGTTATTGAATCAAAATGATCGCAGACATGGTTTGACAATTTGATAATTTTTACTCTAAGTAATTTTAAAACTAGTAAAATTTCGTCTTATGCAATGTTAGCCAAAGCTCCTTTCTGTTATTGCAAAGCAGTCATGTGTTCTAATACGGTAATCGGGTAAAGGGTCATTTAGTGATACTATATCAAACTTTATTATGACTCCATATTGCATTGGTAAAGACATTTATAATGTGCTGTCCACAGGCTCTGGGATCATTAACACTATGTACAGCATTAATTCATCTGCTCATCTAAGCCAATTACATAAGAAGTACACTGTTAGAAAAAGTCCCACCCCTCCTGGCTGAGCCTTTGCTTGTCCACCTGTCCTGGTGAAACTAGAAAGGCCTCAGGGCCACCAGTACATCAATCATAAAAAATAAAAAGTACATTTAAGTTATTTTGGAGTTATATTCATATCATAAAGATTTCAGACTTATCTTGTGCCACTGTCTTTTTTCTTTATTAGTAAAAACCATATTAAAAAGTGTTAAACTTTTAACAAATATGAAAAATTTCTTACCTAATTAACTAAGTATAATTACATAATTAAAACCCCTAATTTACAGTGTACCTTACAGTGCTTTTTATAAAATCTACATTTGGAAACAGTCTTAATCTGTGTTTGTTTATTTATGGATTATGGATGATATTGTTGCTTAAATGTTTACAGAAAAGTTTTAATATTATTCACGCTTTGCTGCAAATTGCACTAGACGAAATTTATTGATATACTTTACTAACATTGTTTTACTTGTAGGGTTGTCCCTAACTGTGGCCACATAACCTTTGCAGAAAAGACCTAATCAGCGCGATGAAGTTGCCTGACAATGAGCCGTTGACGCCGAGCGAGTACTGGATCATCACTGATACTTGGAAACAAGACTGGGAGAGAGGCGTGCAGGTCCCCGTCAACCCTGACTCTCTACCGGCACCAAAAGTCAAGATCATTGAGAATCCACGTTCTCCAAACTTCCAAGAATTTCATTTGTAAGTACTAAATTGTTATTAAACCATTCAGCTCATTGTGAGTGATTTTGAAATAAGTGTATATTAAGTTATTTTGTTCTTATACATTTTATCATCTTTTATATTTGCTAATGGTGTTAATTAGTTACTAAAACTCTTAGATATCACCACGCCTGTGACTGCAGTCACCGACAGAACCAGAGTCAGCCATGAGACACGAGGTTGTAGTCTCAATTGTATTGTATAAAGGCTGCCCTGCACTACCCATCACGCCAGAATGCTTAGCAGATATAGGCGAGATGGTGGTACCTATCTTGGGCGCTTACGATGCGACAATTGTATATTTTTATTTGTATTTTATTAGCTTATTATATTTGTACTGTTAAAACTGAGACCTTAGAACTGATATCTCAAGGTACGTGGCGGCATTTACGTTGTAGATCCAGTAACCATTTAACATCAGGTGGGCCGAAAGCTCGTCCACCCACCTAAGTATTAAAAAAAAACATATATCAATTTATCTCTCCCCACTAACCTGGGTAAATATATATGCTGACGCCTGAGCTATTTTTCATCGGTACTTGAATTTTCACTACTTAAAAAATCAAAAACTGACAGAAAAATCAGAGGTACTTTATTATAAAATCAGAGATTCTTTATTATGCATATTAAAGTAATGGTTGTCAGTAGAATTCGGGAAGAGGGTTTATTCGTTTTCTAAATCATTGTAGGTATTTTTTAAATTTTATTCACATTTTAGATCTTCAATACTCAGTGTTTTACAACAAACTGAAAGGACACTTTTTATAATAATGCAAGACGCCATGTGAGCTGTGAGCTCTTTTAACCATTAAGGGTAAAAAATAAAAGTATTGCAATGATCGAATATTATATATATTTATGTAAGATATTTGACACATACTTATATATTACTATTTTCTTTATGTATTCAACAATTTACGACCTCTTCAATTTGTAAACGGATGTTCAGTTAGTGCAGTGCTGTACGTACTTATATATAGGCTGTGGTCGGCACGGAGCGTTAGATTTGTGTGCAATTTGCCTTGTCGAATTGACAATCTCCTTGATTCACCACAACGTCATAGCGTATTCTATGCACATGATTCGGTTGTTAGTTTTCGGGCTTACCGTTTATTATTAGGTATAAGAAATGGTTGTCAAAGCTAAAGAGGTAACTATGTACTTCCATATTATTGCATAAACGGTTCCCTCAAGTTCAGTATATGTAAAGCTATGACATGCATTTCCGAAATGACCAGTTTCGATTGATGAATGAAGACATTTTCAGTCATATTATGTAGTTGGTGATATACTCACTTCTAACTAACTACTTGCTTGGGCCGATCGCAAGAAGCTGTAATGGAATAAATTACTATAGATTAATCATCAGTTACCAGTATTTTATTTTGTGTAGCAAGTCAAACGAACGTTCCCAATTATCGTAAAGGGCCGGCCCGTATTACCTCAGAAGTGATAATGATGAAAACGAAATAAAAGTTGTATATTTGAATAAGTTAATGAATGAGTACAAAATATATTTAACGAGTATGTATATATCGGCGTTAGGCAAGTAAAATAAAGTGAACGTAAAATACAAAATATTTTTCCGTAAGAATCCGCGATAACGTAATTTAAATATAGAGTATGTAATAAAAATGCTTCCGCAAAGTCAAAACCTGTCTGGGACATGATTTTACTTAAGGACGAAGGTGCAATTCCTAGTACAAAGCGAAAAATCGATATTTCTTTAGTACACGCTATGCGACCAGTTTCGAAAATCACATTATACAGTTAATTTGAATTTGATTTGAATACACTTTTCTGCATTCAACATGTTAATAAAAAGATAAATGCATGTAACGATCGTATGACCTAAGGCTTTAATTTAAAATACACCACAGTTTTCATGGTAATAGGCGATTTGACAGCTAGCTACAGTACAAAAATACATGCATCAGAACTTGTAAAACGAAACTAAATATTACAATTATTTCTGTCGTAAAAAAATATATTTGATTCAAAATAAATGGGTACTAAAGACGTTACGATAGTTCGTTTAATTGTATTTATTTTTAAAGCTTGCCTGACTTAAAGTAACCTAAATATCCACCATCCAGATTTAGTTTTTGTAATATTTTGTACTGGGTTTGTAGATCCTCATTGTTATTAGCAGTTTCAAAGCAAATGTATGGTATATTGAATAATAGTGAAGTCCCTATTCTGGGATGGATATGGTTAGTGACACTTAAGCTTATTTCGTGTAAAAGGGTAGTGATGAAAAACGATCAGTTGGAACGTTATGACGTTGCGTTATTCCTTAAATGAATATCAGATAATTTATTACTTATTTTATATAAAAATAATTTAATATAATTTATATAACACAAAATCGGGTGTTAAAAAATAAATTTTGATTAATAATTGTCTGGTAGTTTCTTCTGTTAGATACAATCCACTGTAAATTGTTGTTTCGCTTAGGTTTGTATAATTAGACAGGCAAAGGGAACATAATCCATAGAGCAGAAACTTGTAATACTGTTTAATTATTTTTTTTATGTTTTGCCTTTTTTGTTATCAACGTATAATGTGCGAACATCATTAATTTTGGAGAGCTGCGTAATCTTGTCTGGGAAACCTAGACGCGAGTTTTACTTGTATTTATCCGGATTTTTTTAATAGTTCAAGTTTGCTGACGTTCATGCGCGTTATAGCTTATGATGATGTTAATAATAGTTATAAAAGGTGTAGTAAAACTAACAAACAATCCCCAAATTGGGTAACACAAATTTAATAAATATTAATTATCTTTAACAGGCCTAAAGACAAATACATACATTTAACACGGGATGTGAACTACCAATCCGATAAACACATTTTGAGCACAACGCCGGCTCGCGCAGAGGCAGCCTGCAGCTATGATTTAGACGCCACCGACATAGCTTGGCTGAAGCTGCTCAATTCCGAACGAGCCAGAGCTGGAGCCGCCCCCATCAACGAAGACCAGCTCGAGAAAGTAATTGAAGAGTTAGAGGTAAGTGTTTTATTTTTTTAATTTACTCCCAAGAAACTCCGAAGTCAGTGTTAAAATATTAAGTTTCATTTTAAACTACGAGTTGAGGACTTCCGAAGAACCTCTCACCCGAAATATTTCTCTTTTTAGCATAGAAAATAATGAATATTTTCCTTTCCCAAAATAATATCCGAATTATTATACAACTAGCGACCCGCCCACGCTTCGCTTCGGAAACTGTAATTTATTATTGATTTCTCCGCTATTTAATGGATGTTATTATACATATAAACCTTCCTCTTCAATCACTCTATCTATTAAAAAACCGCAGCAAAATCCGTTGCGTAGTTTTAAAAAATTAAGCATACATAAGGACAGACAGATATAGGGACAGAGAAAGCGACTTTGTGTGATACCAAAACAAAAATTTTCTACTCTGTGACACTTACTGTTGCCTTAAATAGCTCTTTAGTTGAGCTATAATCGTTGTGTATTACATACGTCCTAGCTCACGTCTAATAACTAAAAATAACTAAATTATAAACTCATGTGCGCCAAAGTGTAAAACTCCTCACTGCTCTGGTCCTGCTCTGAAGTACATATGAAAGTGTTTCCCATTACATAGTTACTCATAACGTTAAAATTATAGAATTAAATGTTGCTTCGTATCGTGCAATATGTTCAGAATTCTCAAAAAGGTACAATGTAATAATTCTCATTTGTAAAGTTTAACTTTAAAATATTGGATTAATACATTTACAATCTGAAATATATATCAGATATAGATCAAGCTGCAGTTAGTAATGAGATCGAGTTTTGGTCGCGTATTTTACGGAACAGAAGAGAGCAATTTAATTTCATTGTTTCACGTACTCAAACGAGGTGCGTTAGTGTGTGGTCATTTCGGTACGGTAATGTCAAAAAAGTCGATTAGAATAGTTAGTAGGGTTAGTAAAAAACTAGTGTCAAGTTGTTACTGATAATTTGAGTTCGACGGCAGTTAATATGATATTTTTAAAATCTTGGAAGTTTTTATTTTTATTTCTAGTTTCACTATAAAAATTTAAGCATTAAAATATTTCATTATTAAATATTTCAGATCTCCATGCTAAAGCTTCGTACTAGCCAAAGAATCACAAGGTTGTTTTAATATAAAATACAGTCGAGTTGAATAAATACCATCTCGCATTAAATATAAGTCTTCATGAAGCCTCCAAAATTTTACAATTATTTATTTCTCAATAAACCGTTACCTAATGGGTAGTTTGAAATTTTTGTCGAACTAAATGTCCTTTATTGCTTGCGATGAAGTTCTGAATTTTGATATATCTATTTGGATTCCTCGACTGATTCTTGTAAAAGCTTTCAGAAATGCGACTTGATTCTGTTCAGGCGTAAATATTAATATTTTACTAAGTACCAAATACGTAAGAACTACGAACACTCAGAATAACAACGCTTTTCAGTATCATTGTGAAATCTATACTCTATACTAATATATAAATCTACAGTGGTTTTTACGGATGTTCCGTTATAACTACTGAACCGTGCATCCGATTGACTTGAAACTTGGTATCCATGTAGAAAATACACGTACTTAATGGATAGGCTAATATTTATATGAGTGTTGGACTGCCTAATAATAATGACAATAAACAATAATATTAACTTTAAATGCCCACAGAAGCGGGTGAGTACGGCTAGTTATTTATAGAACAAAAACCATTCACAAACTTCAAAACCACTAATATCGCATTAGTTATTTAGGTTTTCAATGATCTATCCTCGCTTCGCTTCGGAAACATTAAATTTTATTATTGATAGTTGAGTCCTGCAATGTTACCTGCGGTTATTGTTGTAGCGCGGGTGACGCCGCGGGGCGAAGCCAGTCTAAAAAAAGTAGCCTAAGTTACTCCTTATATCATTAGCTACCTGTCAGTGAAAGTCCCGTCAAAATCTGTCCAGCCGTTCCAGAGATTCCAGAGAGCCGGAACAAACAGACAGACAGACACAATAATAATGACAGTAAAATAATAATGTTAATTTTAAATGCCCAGCGAAGCGGGCGAGTACGGCTAGTATGTATATAAATGGCAAGAAATTCAAAAATGTTTGCAATTAGTAATTGATTTTAGCTCCGTAGTTTATTTCTGTACTTTGGGATTCTGTAGTGTACGTTTGTATGGATAAAATCCATTTCAATCTAAACCGCATTGGCAGGGAAGTCGCCTTCCTAACTCCCAGCGTTTCCTGTACATTTTATATCTAAACGTTATTGCGGCTTCAAATTCAAGTTCCGCTTTCCGTCTTGGAATTCAACGAGATTTTAAATTGAATCTTGACTGCAGTCTGAAATGCTATTTAATAGGATGGCGCAGAAATGAAGTTAAAACATCACAAATCGCAAAAAGTTATTTTGGTTTTAATTTTCGTTCGGCGGGTAGTACGCTCATGAAAATTATTTAGTTATAAGGGTTTGTGTACACACTGTTTGTCTCATCTTGTATATTGCAGGTAGGACGTCTATTGTTTTTTTTTAAATGCACCATCTTTGTATCGCTGTTCTGTCAGCGCTAAATTCGGAATATAATATAATATTATATTAAAGTGGGAGCTTATCTAAATTTGGCTGTGTGAAACTGTGGTTTCGTTGTTAAACATCCGATACGTGTAATTGCAGTGAGATAAGGTGCAGACCAATATCCACGTTATTTACTCAAAAATCATCGAAATTTATCTAGTAGTCGTTGTGGAGTAACGCATAAGACGGTCGTTGTTCTCGTATCGAGTAAAGTTTTGATATTCCGCAGGCATGTACCAATTTTTGCCCAGAGATACATCTCACTGAGTTTCTCGCCCGATCTTCTAAGTGGGTCGCGTTTCCGATCTGGTGGTTCTGCGAAGCACTGCTCTTGCTAGGGTCAGTGTAAGTAACACTCCGGTTTGAGCCTCGTGAGCTCACCTACACACGTTAGGGCGAAGCTGAAATAGCCTCACAAGGCTATAGCAGCATAGGTAGCAAAAAAAATTTCTGTAAGAATGTACATACTTGATACGCGATGTCTGAGCTGCGGTAACCACTTTAGAGCTTGTAGACCGTGAGCTCGGTCATTCATCTGCGCAATGAAAAATACAGATTTTACATATTATATTTTGATTTATTTTGAAGCCTTTGGTGTTTGGATCTTTCCTCTTGTCTGTTTGCTCCAATTCGCTCGAGTATCCGCTTAACGTAAGGCAGGGCGTGTTCATTTATCTACCCATTTACGTGGACAAGGGTTCTGTCGAATCCTATAGACACCACTGGTCTATTGCAACCAAATAAATTTCGGACCATATGCTTTTCAATTTTTTTTCGTTTTCTTTTCTTAAATTCTAAAGAATAATCTCTGCCTCCTAGATAAATCGCTCTAAATTTGGTTTACTATTTTGTGACGTTACAAGTTGGAGTTCTAATTATGTTTGTTTGCGACGTCCGTATGCAATAGTGAATATTATTATAGCACTGGGATATTACGTTAAGAAAATCATGTGACTAGAAGGAATCGTTTTGGAAAGGTTACGTAGACTACGTTATTTTTTCAAACAAGTAAAATTAACAAGTTAATATAACTCAAATTATTATTTAACTTTACTTTTAAGTTATTTTATTTGTTGGATATAATACTGATTTTGAAATAAAAGAATTGTGCTCGGGGTTAATACGAGGGGAAACTGTATTGTATGTGTGAGGTATAAAAGTATGCAGGGTGCAGCTGATTCGAAGATTATTAGCCCAGAAAAACCGTTTGTTATAGGACTTTCGATCTGAAAAATATGCACTGCTCCTCTTATAATAGATTATAATAATTGCTTCAACGTCTCGACTTTCGCAATATTTCTCGACCTTCTGAGACGATGTGATCATTTTATATGATAACATTTTGTCGTAAAAGAATAAACATATTTAACATATTCATATTATAATTTGCGTTATTAATGGTGGTAGGACTTCTTGTGAGTCCGCACGGGTAGGTACCACCGCCCTGCCTATTTCTGCCATGAAGCAGTAATGCGTTTCGGTTTGAAGGGTGGGGCAGCCGTTGTAACTATACTGAGACCTTAGAACTTATATCTCAAGGTGGGTGGCGCATTTACGTTGTAGATGTCTATGGGTTCCGGTAACCAATTAACACCAGGTGGGCTTGTGAGCTCGTCCACCCATATAAGCAATTAAAAAAAAAACAACCGGTGTACAGTAGAACAACGGAGACGTCGTGGTCCGATGTACTGAATGAATAAATGCTCGGCAAGGTCCGGTTCGTTACATGTCTTACAGCTCTGGCTGTGACCCTAACCATCAATATCCGAGATACCGGTTATGTGAGAGGGGGGATTAGCCATCGCATCGTTCTATCTGAGAGCACATTTGACCGCTGATAGTCTTTATTCCGTTGGTGTCACAAATATCGCGAATCCTTTTAGGCTTACGTATGTACGTGGCTCTTTGAAGGCGGCAACGTTGGCGAATAAACACGAAATTTAGTTTACTTGTTCCTTGTACTTGTAGACCTAAGGTCCAAAATAGTCCATTGCTACATGAAGTTATATTCTTTACGTATGCTGCAAACTAGGTGAATGAATATATCCATTTCTGTAGAAAGGTAAGACACATCTTTGTTTTAACATACTTGTTGTGTCAAATTATTGTCGAAGTAGAATATATATGAACAAGCAAAGTGAATTACCCATTTCTTCTGTGTTTGTTAACCGATTTTCTTCTTATTATTTTTTGTACCTATTGAATTAACTTTATCCATGGGCGACGGTAACCACTCAACATCAGGTGGGCCGTATGAACGCCTAAAAGGGCAATAAAAAAAAATACTGCACAGTAAATAAATATAAATGTTGAGGTGTCAGTAATCATGATTATTGTGTGAACACTACTTAAGGTAAAAGATCCTGCCAATCACTCTCAATCTTGTCTGTTCAACTTAATTAAAATATTAAATCCTATTAATTAGCATTTGTGACACTGA